GAGAGAGAGGGAACAGGCAGTGCGGGGCGGTGAGAGAGAGGGAACAGGCAGTGCGGGGCGGTGAGAGAGAGGGAACAGGCAGTGCGGGGCGGTGAGAGAGAGGGAACAGGCAGTGCGGGGCGGTGAGAGAGAGGGAACAGGCAGTGCGGGGCGGAGAGAGTGGGAACAGGCAGTGCGGGGCGGTGAGAGAGAGGGAACAGGCAGTGCGGGGCGGTGAGAGAGAGGGAACAGGCAGTGCGGGGCGGTGAGAGTGGGAACAGGCAGTGCGGGGCGGTGAGAGAGAGGGAACAGGCAGTGCGGGGCGGTGAGAGAGTGGGAACAGGCAGCCCAGAGGCGGTAGTGAGGGCTTGGTGTGAGAGTGTGAGCCCAGCGTGCCCAGGCACTTATGGACTGTGACGTTGAACTATTAACTGTGTTTCTTTATTTTTCTATGCTTCAGTAAGAAGGACTGTAATGTTTAACTTCTTAACTTGCTGTCTTTATGTTTCCACTCTGTACCAAGATGCTGTGCCTAGGTACATTTGTACCTGAGATGTCTTGCACTGTGCTCATGCGAGTGAGTACATGTGACAATAAAACCTAATTCCAATTCTAATTCTAACTGGTGGAGAGCCATGACTGACCGGGTGTTGCAGACTGGCACACTCCAGGGTCCAGGACTGTGCGCTGAGGGACACACAGAAGCCTGAAGCAGTCATTGTGGAAACTTGAAGTCAATAAGGCCCTGTAAAACCCACCAGTTTGCACAACTGTAATGGACTGACAACAGTAATGGTAAACTTTCTGATCACATCAGAGCACTATATGCTGCTTTGAAAGAAACCAAACGATTTGGCACTTAACGTAATGTTAAATTTGTTCTTTTATTTCATTTGCAAATTTTATAAGTAAATTATATCTCTCAGGGGGTGGGGTTGGGAGAAGAAAAGAAATTAAAAGCTTCCAAACAAAGAAATTCAACCGTCAAGTATTATACAACACAGAAACAGACCCTTTGGCCCAAATCATCCATGCTGACCATAATCCCAAACTGAACTAGCCCCATTGGCCTGCGTTTGGTCCATAACCCTTTCCTGTTCATGTACCTGTCCAACTATCTTCCAAATGTTGTAATTATCTACCTGCCCCCACGCTTCCTCTGGAAGCTCGGACCACATGCGAATCACTCTGTGTGTAAGAAAAAATTTCCCTGCACATCCCTTTTAAATCTTCCTCCTCTTGCCTTAAAAATATGACCCTCATTTTGAACTCCCCCACCCGAGGGAAAAGACCTTTTGCTGTTCGCTTTAACTTATGCCCCTCATGATTTTATAAACCTCTATCAAGGTCACCCCTCAAGCCTCCTACACTCCAGTGTGAAAAGTCCCAGCCTCTCCTTATAACTCAAACCCTCCATTCCCGGCAACATCCCGGTAAATCTTCTCTGATTTAATTTAACAATATCCTCGGTGATCTGTTTTAAGCAGCCCTGCTAACCGGTTTGAGGTGGGGAGGGAGGGTGGGATGGGGTTTGCCAGTGATGAAGAGTCACTGGACTGGAAACATTAACGCTGCCTTCTTCCCACAGATGCTGCTGAGTTTCACCAGCGATTTCTGTTTTTGCTGTTGAATATGTCGATGACACGATAACGGTCTGGTTCCAGTGTTTATCTCATATCTGACAGCCCTCGTTGGTACAGACGAGCAGCCTTCTCTATATTCATAGAAACGCTCTTTGTCTGGTTAAAAAAAAACTTGGCTGTAGAGTGTTGCTATTAACCAAACCTCAAATTAACAGCCCACCATTGTTGAAACATATCTCGC